TACCCCTCAGGAAAGGTGAGACACTAAGCGAGCAGAGCTGAGGATAAAAGGTCTTTCCCTGTAACTGTGAGTGGAGCACATTCTGTATCATCTCCCGAGACCCCAGAATTAAACAGGCAGCAGTCAGCTCACATGTACATGGCAGCCTTGACGGACGACTCCGAAACAGCATTCACCTGAAAACTAGGTAACTTCTGTCAGTTTTGCTTAGCATACTAAAATTTAAGGGTATCTAAAAAGAAATCTCTTCATTTTTTAAAAAAGAGGATTGCTTATTTTCTCTGCATATAGGGATTATAAATAAAGGTTTCAAGTGTTTTCCCCAGAAATAATACATGCAGACAGAAAAAAAGAGTTGGGATTTTGAAACTCCGGCAGCATGCTGAGATGCTGGCTCAAGACCTTTGGATACCTGATGTTTAGTAGGGACTTGAATCAGGGTGGCAGTACTGGAAGAGATACTATTCTAGCCAGATTCTCCTTTCCTCTGAGCACTTTTTTTTTTTTTTTTTTACAATGAAAATGTTTCCTTTTCTAGAAAGGTAATCAAAGAGAGCTTCGCAGGGAATATGCAAATTCCCCAACTCTTGCTTAGTTTAAAATATTTCATGAATCTGTGTGACTCCCTTCCAGTAAGCTGCAAAGATAATGATGAAGCTCGTTTTTGCTATGGACCCCATCTGAGACAAACAATCCTTTGAATGTACAATTAGACATCAATGGGAACTGTTCAAAACCTTCTTCCATGTTTTATTCAACAGTGGCTTGTTCATAAAGCCAGAGAACATTTATTTCTGGTGTTACTTTCTCATAGCTCCCTTTAGACTCAACAATTGTTAAATCTAGTTTAAAAGAAAGAAAAAAAAAAAGCCTGACTTGAAAGGTGAAAACACCAAACAAACCAGAAAACGCTGCGTGCTCTGACTGCGAAGCTTCACTTGCTTCAGCGGCACCAAGAGCATAAACACGCACCTCGACAGAAAGCTGAGCAACTCTACCACAGCAGGGAGCACATGGAAATTATTTTAAGATGCAGTTTTAATAGGCCTTGTTGAGATTTGCTGGAGATGGAAAGCAATACAGGGCAAGAAATGCTCGGGGGATAAAACACACCAGCATGGGCATCGGCAAATGGCATGGGCCAGCGAACCCTGCAGCCAAAGCCTGGGTTTGCACAGTCCAAGCAGACACCTGAGCATGCAGGCCCTGTCCAGAAAAAAACCCATAAATCACTATGTGTCTCTCTCCTCCGGTAGTCGAGGGAACATACGCAACTACTTCTAATTAAGAACACAATTTCTCTTTGAGCTGAAGGCAGAGGGAGATTCATTTTTAACCATGCACTGAGCTAGAGAGGTTGAATACACTGGGGCTCAATGTGCTGTAATAAAAACTGAAGAAAACTAAGAATCAGAGACGAGTAAGTAAGAGCTTCACTCATCATTGCTGCTGAGGAAGTATCAGCCAGGGAGAGCAGGTTAAGCCTCCTGTTGGTGTTTGTGTTTCCTTCAGGAAAACCAGTTTGCTGATAACAAACAAACATGCCAGAAGGACTTTAATCAATTGTGCAGTTCATAAACTACCAAAAAGTCAAGCATTTGGCAGACTCCAAGTGATGAAATTTGGGAATTCAAGGAAACACAAGTTATTTTAAAGCAATCACTATGAAAACGTATACAGACTTCTTGCAGCCTTTTTGGTCTCCAGTGATGGAACTATCAAACCTAAAGGAAGTCCTATTTTGGATTTGGACATAGCTTTCATTGGATTTATCAATCATTTCAGAAGAAAATATGGTTCAAATAGGTTGTAGCTGATTTTTTAAATCATACTTCTAATCCCAAGGAGGATGGTTGTAAGAAAGGAGAGGGAAGATAAATCCTTTATTGTCACCTTTTGGGTCATTCAGGCAAACACAGGGAGGGAGATCTGATGGGTTCACACAACATGAGGAGCAGGGAGGTTGCAGCACTTTAGGGCAGCCACAGTTCTCAGAGTAGCTACTGCACATTCATTAAACAGGGCACCAAAGACTCATGGAACTCATGGATGAGGTCTGCTGAATTTTGTTTCCCAAGAAGCCTCAACACATGGAAATCCCACCAAATATTTTATGAAGATGGTGGACACTCTTGTTAATAAACTGGTTGGACCATTTATATATGTTTTGGGGGTGAATGGAAGGATAGAAGAGACAGTAAAGAAGTATTTTCATCATCATTCTTCCTTCTGATTTCTCTTCCTGTTTAATCAGTTTTCCTCTTCATAGCAATAGCTGTCATCATATTTTGCTTTGCTGCCATTCTGCAGGAAACCATAAGCAGGTCGAAGGTAGTCCATTTTCATAGTCACTACCTGAAGAAAGCATCAGCATCCAACAGTTGCTTAAAACTAAGGATATTTGCCAAGAGCTGCTAGAATGCAATTTGTTGCACTACTGATGTGATCTTCAATTTTTCCAGCATCACCCAGCTCTTCAAGAACTGTCTGCGTGGATTTCCAATACCTGCAGATCTAGGAAGCTGAAGAGAAGAACCAAGGCAAGCAACAAATTTGTGAGACACATTCACCTTCATTATCTTCACTTCTACATCGTTTCCTCACTCCTGTTCTCATTGTTAAGCATAGGAAAGGGTGACCCAGACATTAAACCAGATGTCCATACATATGTACAGAGGGAAGAGCTGCACAAATACAGCTTAGAAAAAAACAGATGTCTTGCTCAGATTAATTCCCCTCCTCGTTATTTTATTTTGCTGGCTCCCACTTGCTTGTTTGTTTTAGAATGGGCTCCATGGGATTCGTAATAAAGAAAAATGAGAAGTTCTATGTTGTTTTGGCACAAGTTTACACATTGGCCCTGATTTTCTCAAAAGTATATAAATATCTACAAAGATGATACCTGGAATGATTTCAGTGATGACTATCTTACAGGGATCCCTTATAAAGGAATTTTCATTCATTCTACTTACAATCTAGGAGCAATATTTCCTATGCAGAGCAATGACTCCAGTGTTTCTGCATCCTGTCAAATCTATGACAAAATTAATACTCAAGCACACTAAAAAGTCTTTTGGCAAGCCTGAAATCAGTTTTATGGGAGATGATTTGCAGTAGTTTTCACCCTGGCAAAGATTTGATTACAGTAGCTGAGAAATTCAGGGACTGGCAGTGGAAACAGAGAAGCTGAAGCCATGAATTTCACTTACAAAATACACATTAAGATTTCAATTCACGTCAAGGAAAACAGCAATACAAGCACCGAGGTTTGATTAAGGGCCCTGCTGTCTAAACAATTGTGCTGTGCACAACTGCTCTGTGATCAATTAATAGGGATGGATACGATGGATGGATACAACCTCTCTGTCTGAAGTTTGTCATGACCATGAGATGCTTGTTTTACAGGGTTGGCCTCCTTGACGAGATCATACCCATATTTAAGCACAAGAATGTTCCCATCTTAAGGTGTGGGCTCCTTCCCAAAGAGGAAGATGACTTCAATTGCATGCAATTCTGTATTTCATGTCAGTGGTCCAACACCTGCATCCTGCTACCCCAAAACGCGGATGAGCTAAGCTCTACACAATGAGCAGCAGAAGGGACACCGCCTGTTTCGTCAGAGATTTTTGTCATAGAGCTGCCACTGACGTGTCCCCAACTACTTTTCATTTTTACTATCATTGCTCTTTCTACAAAAGACTTTGAGGGCTCTCCTGTGTCCCTCTTCTTGCTGGGCAAAAGGCCAGTAGGTCTGTGTGGACTGACAGGCCAGCCAACTTGCACAGCTTTCTGTTGAGCTCATACTGCTGAGGTTTTACCTCTAAAGGGAAATCTGTTTTGTTCCCTTCCCCAAGCTGCCTGTTTTCTTGGAATTTATGGGAAGTTATTCAACTTTAAAACCTTTCCAGTCCTCTCAAATGTGGTTGGCATTGTAAGATCTAGTTATATTCCCCATAGGTAAATGTGAATAAAGTCAGAATTGTCTTCTGACACTAATCACATGTATCATGCATAGCTTGGGCTTCCTCTAGCCCCTCATTTTCTGAAAATGATCTCCTTGCAAACATCAGGATTTGGGACATCAAAAAGGACTCTGAAACACCACAGGCTACAGCTTCAGTCTGCTTCAGTCATACAGAGAGGGGGAATATAACATTTCCAAACCCCCAGGGCACTGGTGGAAAACAATACTGACATTATGAAATACTGCATTGACTTTTCCTAGGAAAAATACTTTTCTCTTTTTTTTTCCTTCTAACCAGGCTATCTTCAAGCAAATGAGAGAAAGGACTTCCAAATACCAAAATTTCTTCCCTACTCTCCTCAGTCCCAAGGAAATGCTGGTGTCTTCTGAATGCCACTTTAACAAGTATTTAAAGTAGTGTTCTCATAGATAATGTCTTCTTTAAAGCATTTAAAAATGCAAAATTTGGTCTCTACAATGAAAACCACACGGTCATCTGTTGTTCTCGAAGAAAGGCCAGTCAGTAAAAGCCTGCTGTGACAAGTAGGAGAGAAAATACCTCACTTGCAGATCCTCCCTCACTGAGTACCCACACTGGAAGACAACAAACAACGCAGGTGAAAGCATCAGCTGATGAAGCAATATCCCAGCAGCAGGTTGGTAGCTCTTTTTAAAAAATACAGACAAAGATAAAAGGGTTTATAGAAGCACATTCAGATTTTATCAGACCGATCTCTAAAAACACCATTTAATCCAAATCTCCACTTTACAGCTTAGAACTGCACTTTAATCCCATGGAACAATGCCCATTTTATGTTTGGAAAATTAATTTGTAGAAAGAAGATTTTATTCTGAAAGGCAGGTTTTAAAATGAAAAGTGCTTTTTTTTCCCCCCAGTATCCTACATTGATAGCTGAATTATTCATATTTAAACAAGAGCCAAAGTTTCTGTTTCTTTTTTTAATGATATCTCTATATAATTGGTAGCTGGCATTCTACAAAGAGAGAAGTTGTCAACATATGATAGGACACATTCTCCAAAATATTAGCACTTTGGAGCTAAAACAGGTAGCGCAGGAAATCATCGTGGAAACCTGATTACAGTTTTGTTGTTTCAAGAGCTTGACTAGAATTTCAGCTAATGATGGAGGCATGAAAAGGGAACACCACTCTGGATTCAAGAGTTACCGGTTATAACATCTTGCAGCAGACACTGCACTGTGGACTAAACTAGTGTTCTCGTCCGACAGTGCTGAACAAACAAAGAAACAAACAAAAATTCTCATTTACATGGCAAGAGAATCATCTGCTCTCCAAGTAATAACCCAAAATAAAACAGTCCTTCAGGCACTGCACTGACTAGAGCAGCCTAAGTGAAATGTATACACTTACATAATTCACTGATTGCAAGGAGAATGACTGCATTACATAAGCTCTTACCATTTTCTTTTCTTTTTCTCTCTTTTTTTTTTCTTGCTGGCTCTGTAGATTTTGAGTGCTCCCAAAGGCTGTTTTATTTTTCAGACTTTCTTTGACCAGAGACAATCTTGCAAGAGAAGTACAAGTCTTTAAGGCCAACATTACAATCCAAACAGAAGAAGAGCTAGTCACACATAGAGAAACACATTTTCAATTGACACTTACATTCATTTCTGCAGTTTTTCTGCTATAAGCAAATGAAGAACCTCCTTCTGCTTTCCACTGAACAACTCATATCCCCTTGATAGGCAACGTGCATCTGGAGTCCAAATGAATACAGAATTAATCCCCAAAGGCTGGAGAGCAAAACAGGTCAGCAGCAATCTCTACTACAAGTCAGTGCAGAAACCTTGTAACAGACCAACTTAAACCAGGGTGCATTTAATGATTTTTCCTTCCTTTTCTTTTTTTTTTTTCTTTTTTTTTTTAACTTCTATTTTCAACACAGTTTCCCTCAGCCAGCTCTTGCCAATGATACATGATACAGGATTAGCCTAACTACATGTGCAATGATCTAAATTACCCTGATAATTTCTACAACAGGCAAGTCTAACCCTGCTCAGTAGCAGGACATTCCCAAGACATTTTTCTAGCCTTAATTCTCCCAAGAGTCGCTGGAGGAGCTGATGAGACTCAGCTCTTGTGACGGTCAAGCTTTGCCTTCCTTTCCCCCACCAAAGAAAAGAGGAAGAAAAGAAAGAGGAGAAAAGGAAAGGAGAAGGAAACACACCACACTCCTACACACACTCCTACACACACGCACACACGTAGAGAAAAAAAGGAAAAGGGTAAGAAAGTTGCATGAGGTGCCAATCTGGAATGAAATGGACTTTTGAACAGACAGTCATATTTGGCACTGTCAGCAAAAGCTCGTGGGTGGCCCTGTTTCTCTCGGAGTCCTAATGCCCTTTTACATTGGTCATTTAAAAACATCACCCAGAAAGTTCAGCTGTGTCACTTCTGACATTATTTTCACAACGCTGCCGAATGGACTCCATGGAGAGACTCTTTTTCCCTCACCCCAGTTTCATAAAACATTGTACATAAAGGATGTTTTCTGTTTGGTCTTCAAGTAGCATTTTTACGGTCCATGCAAATCCACAAATCCGTGATTATTCTTCCCTTTAAAAAGGATCAACAGAAAACAGAGCCCTCTTTCTGGAGGACAGGAAAAGTAAGAACTGTTGGATCTCCCAGCCGAGCCCTCCAATCCTTAGGTAGCAGGCTGCATTAACGGGTCCTCGCACTGTTCTAGCTGCATCCTCAGGACCCCGCTTTTATGCAGAAACCAGAGCTGTAGAAATTCCTCCGGCATGGCGTGGAATCCGGAATCGGGCAGCACATTGTCATAGTAGTGATGGCTGATAAACTTCCCACGCAGGTCCACCGAGAAGGGCCAGAAACCGTAGATGGTCACCTCCTCGCACAGGCCCAGGGCAGCGCTGACCAGGAAGAGCCCCGTGGAAAGGCGCTTGGCGTGGATGCCTTTGCTCTTCCAGAACTTGCCGATGTCACGCAGGAAATTGGGGTTGGCGAAGAGCACCCTCTGCTTGGCGCCAAAGTCCTGCAGAGTGTAGTAGACGCGGAGCGAGGGCCCTGTCCCTGTCTTCATGGAGAAGGCTGGCATGTAGATGTAGCTGTGGTTGTACACCTTGACGCTGTCCACAAACGCTTTTCGGGACCAAAGCAGATTCTGGAACCTGGAAAACACCAAAGAAAAGCATGTTGCTCACATACTGGTTCTTCCGCTCCTATCCGAATCCACCAAAAAGCTGCTTTTCCTACATACACTTAAAATTAAGTGCAGGCTTTTCCTTAGCCCAGAGAAAGCCCAAACTTCTCACTGTCTGACACCACCTTCCTTCTAAAAACATAAACTCAAAGAAACAGTTGAAAACTAAATCCCAAACTCTAAATGTTTCTGATTTCATCTCATCAAAAAGAACCTGAAGGACCACTGACAATTTTCCTGGAAATCAATAATCTTCAGTGACAGTTTTCTTTTTCTTCAAAATCCAACTTACTTTGGGGGGCACAGAAGTCTTTAAAACACACTTTGAAAGTCCACACTGTTCTTGTTTTCTAAAGGTCTACTTAAAAATGACGCAAGCTACCTTCTGAACATGCAATACTGATAAATATTTAGATATAAGCACTGCTTTTATAACACTTCTAAGACATTTGTTTTGATTATGCATTTTTAATGATTTTTTTTCTGTGTTAGGTTATGTGACCATCACAGTTAATTCTCATTCTGGACCTGCGAAAAATCTCAAAGAACATATTTCTCACCAGCCAGGAAAACAGACATTTACTGATGTCTATTTTATCCCTAACTTTTAGACCTATATCCTACTTCAAAAACAGTATTTTATCAAGAATATAACTTATCAAGAATATAACCTTTCCATGCCATACACTTCTGGATGTGTCAAGACGAATGAGATATCTGACAAGAAATTCTAGGTCATTTACACAGTCATTACGTTTATTACATTGCATAGTCCTTATGTTTATTACATGGTACATTGTCAGTGCCAAGTAAAATCCAATACCTAAACTGCAACCCTATCAAGTAACAGGAGTCACCTGCTTGTCTTAGGGTTATACAGTGTATTAGAAAATGCTTTTCCATGAAAAAAATCACAACAATTTGCTCTTGAGAGTCTGCTTTCTTTCGAAAGTCTGAAAACCTTTACAGCACTCATACACTTCAGCATGCATGCAAAAAACATGACTTTATGTCTGCACAGTCCTCACATTCACTCCTTCCCTCCCAGCTGGGTTGCTCTGCCATGCATGAGCCCTAATATTTTCTCAGTTCACGACTGTCTGTCTTGTCTTTGTTGCTCCATCTTCTCCCTCAGGTTCTCATAGCTCAGGCCCATATGCGAGTCATGACTGATTTCATAGTCATACAGCAGACGAGTAAGGAGCAGCAAGCTGAGACACTGAATTTTTGTTTTCCTTTCTCTGTCACAGGCAGAGGTAAGAGAATATCATTTTCAAAGGGCTATGAAGAGATCAATTGTATGTACAAACTTCTTGGAAACAAGAATAGAAGAATCACATGCACAGCAAGATACATGGATTTGAACATGATGCAACGTGACCTGAAGAAGTAATGGAAAAGATTTCAGCTGAAACAACTGCCAACAAAAAATACAGCTACAGCAACATCCGAAGGTCTCATGAACATGCGTCAGCGTCATGACGTCTTTGTTCTGGCAGAAAACTTAAAATGTTCCAAACAAATTGAAAGATATTGTTGACATTTTCAGAACACAAGCTTTGGTTTCTGATTCGCTACAAGTTTCTTTCAAAATTTCCTTCAGGTTCTTTTCAGAAAACACACACCAAAAAGACACTCCAAGAAAACTCATGGGAATGGTGGAATAAACCATTCTGTTCAGGCTGGAATGGATTTGAATTCCCTGTGAAATGAAATTTGGGTTTAGGTATTTTGCTTCAAACTGACTTGAAAGAAAAGCAAAGTGCATCCTTTGCTTCCTTTTAGGTTTGGAGTTCTCCAACTGCTCATGGACTTTCAGGCCACAGGATTAACCTGTAGATACTCTGAGGCAAAAGCCCTAAAATGAGGCAGGACTGGATCTTCTGTTTTGCTCTAGAGACTCGCTCCTACTGCACCGTGGTATTTGCTAATAGCAAATAGACAAAGGCACTGACATCCAAACAAGAAATCAATTCAGTCTGAATATATAAAATACAACAATAATTTCAAAGTTTATTACATTTGACATTTTTCTCTCTAGAAACAGCCAGGGTACATAGTTGTAAGTAGCAGATCAGCTAAGAGCCAAATGCCTTGGCTGAATTTCATTAGCCTAGCGGTATCTTCTTATGCAAGCCTTCTCACTTGTTACCATTAGACCTTCAACTAAGTGTTCCCCAAAACTATCTTTACAGTTTTCTCTTCCTAGATATCCCTGGAGGAGGACCTGGTCCTGTACCTAGTTGTCAGGAATAGGAACTGGGGCTCTTTACCTCCTGCTTGAATCAAAATTGCTCCATTTTGATCAGAACGCAGTCACTAAAGGAGGCAAAAATCTGTCCCTCACTAGACAGCTCCTCCTGTGACAGTGCAAGCAGCCAGTTTTACCATGTTCTTTCCCACTCTCAGTTAACTAACAAATTTCATCTCCTATGGCAAAGAGATGTGTTTATTCTAAAACTGCATTTTTCAGCAAATTTACTCTTCATAGGAAAAAAACAGATAGTTCTAGGATAAAGATAATCAGATGTGGCCATGGAGGGACAAGGCCTGGTGCTGCCTATTCCTGTGCTATTGTTGCCACCACGCATTCACATTTCGTTTAGATTAATCCCTCCAAGTGCCTCACAAGTATGAAGAAGCACATGCTGCTGTGACGATAACGCTGATCAGGAAGGATTTCATATGGAAGGGGTAACATTTGTCATGTTTTTGCAAATTGTTCTTCAGAAACATCACTTTTTGGATCACAGTGGCATTAGGCAGCATGCCCAGTTCAACAGATGGGCATTACACAGGTGGCCAGGAGCCCATGTAGAAGCATAAAACATGCTGGTTACAGCTGGTCTGACAGCCTGAAACAACCAAAAAGCTGCTGCCCATCCCATGCTCCTCATACGGGGAGATATTAGAAGCAAATGAAATTTTCTGTTCCTGGTTTTTGTAAAAACAGGAACTCTGGCCAGCTTTCCAGCATTCTCACATGGGCTGCTTAGAAGGCCGCTGGGTAACCTGGGGACAAACACCACCCAAGAGCAGATCTCTAGAAGTCCTACTCGAAGCTCAAGAGTATCTCCCAAACCAGAAGGGAGTCCTGCAGGCAAAGCCATTCCAGTGGTAGCTTTGGGTGGAACAACTCTTCCCAGGAGGCTGCAAGGACAGTCCTCTACATCCAACAGAGAGACAAGGAGGTCTTTTCTTCAGTATCTGATCAGTTCAGTCGCACATGCATGAGCATGAGGATATTGCCTCTTCCTGCATGTCCTACCATATATGCTGGTAGAGTCTGTAGGGTCAGATGGGCACTAGCAGCTGGTTGCTAGTTAGTGCTTGCCCTGACCTCACCTGTCTAGCTTTCAATGTTCTGGCACTCTCAATGGCATCACAGATACATGGTTCATACCGACTCAAGGGGCTTCTAAAGAAACCCATCAAATTATCCAGCCCCTTGCACAAGACTGTGTCTCAGACCAGATTCTCTAAGCAAGAATCTCATTCAGAATCGTCCTTGGACCTTCTGTTTATACAAACAATTTCACATGGTGGCTTCCCAGCACTTAGATAAAACTGGAGCCGGAATCTCCCAAGCTCCGAGCAGCTCCTGAGAAACTACATGAGGTGCTTAGTAGTTTGCAGCTGTGTCTTCTATCACCCGCAGAGCAGCGCAGAGAGGCCATGACAGCTCGAACCTCCAGCAAAAGCAAATCACAGCCCGTTCAGTCGGGGCGTTCTGCTTCTGCCACACTCTCTCATGGACACTGAGTGAATAATGCCACCAGCAACGTGTTTTTCCTGTCAGGTCCCATATAACAGATCAACTCAAAAAGCACACAGTCTTCAATGGGCATATGTAGGCATAACTGTGCGGATATCAGAGAAATAAAATCCTTTATACCAGCTGCAGAGCTCTCTTAAATGCCGCATTCCTCTGCTTTCTCAGAGAGAATTATGCATCCAAGAGAACACTGCTAGAGACAGTACATTGCCATGGCAGTACAACCAAAGCCGTAAGAGCTCCAAGTGTTTGGGGGGTTGTTTTTAATCTGTCTTTAATGTTCTTATTGATGTTCTCTAGCAGCTCTTTGGGATAGAACTGTTCTCTGGTACTAACAGATGCCTTCCAGTAATCGCAAAGAACTCACTGCAGTGATACTGAGCTAACCCACTTGCAGCTAATAACGGCAGCATTTTCCTGCATCTCCGTTTCTCTTTGATCTCCCTAGAGAGTCACTATCTCATGCTTGTGATGACATCCCAGTCACTTGCTGTGTTGGCATCTGCAAAGTCACAAGTTCAGCATTCCGGATTAATTGCAGGATGACTTACCGCAAAAAGAACGATTGAGTAATGAGGGGAACAGCTCGGATGCCAAAGAAACAGGCTATTATTCCAAAATTAAGACAAGTACAGCTCGGGGGGAATAAAACACAAGACACATGAAGACTTATGTATTTGTCCACACAGCAAAGGATAACTTCACAGAAAAAATGATGTAGATAACTCAATGTCAGCATTAGCTGGGAATGATTTAGGAGTTCGCGGCGGCTGCTGGAAGAGGCTGGAGCTGGAGTCCCAAGCAGGCGGCTCACAGCGGCACATCTGCAGCCTCACTGCTCTGACAGGAGCCTTCCTGCGCCGACCTGGGCCTCCAGCTGGCAGTCCTGGTCCCAACCGCTCCGATGACACACTTTCCTGAATACGGGCCCCCTTAGGCCTTGCTTATCCACTGCTACTGAACCCTGGCCGGGTCTGAATTAATGGCACGCTCGCTGCCGCGCGCTCGTTTCTCTGAGGAGGCATTTTGGGCAGGCATTAGGTGCAAGGCGGACTATTCTGCTTGTCCACAGAAGGAGCCAGAAAGGAGCACTTAATATACTGTAAATTTAAACACTTTCTTGTTTTATCCCAGCTTCCAAGTTATAAACAAGTCATTGTTTATTTAGCCTGAGGAAACTTCTCTTACTTAAG